AGTTTGGGATCAGCTAGGAACAAAGTCCCCATGGCCCTGGGACTGGAAGGCCTTGTTGTGTCAAAGCCTGGCACAAGGGTCAAATAGACCCGCTCGACGAATTTACCTGTAACATGTTCAAATTGGGACGTATTGCGGTGCTCTGGGCGCTCTGGAGACGACGCTACACTTTTCAACTGGAGGGGAGGAGACTAGAAGGACCCAAATTCACGGAAAGTGTATAACAGCAGATCCAAACAGAAATAACCGCAAAATGGGAAGATGTCAAAACACCAATCCCATTCTTAGGCATGCAAAAGGACATTAAACAAAAACTTCAAGAATTTAGCTCAAGCTGGCTTGGGGGGACAAACGGAGGGAGGTTAGGAATGGTGGAATCGCAAGTGGAATGAAAGGAATCAAGGGAGGGCCAAGGAAGAATGAAGATGATAAAGGACTACCAACTAGTATTCCATGAATGAACCAAAATTGATATGGCGATCCCATTGAAACCCCCTGATGAATTCCCCGATTTCTTTCCTCCCCCATCAAACTATCTAGTAGAAATGCAGTGGTACCGGAAGGAGGGATAAACTCAAAAGAGAGAAAAGACGATTTTGGCAGAGGACTAGGGGCTAGGGTTTATCCCTAGGCTAACGGAGTCTACCCCTCACCCACGCACCCATGTGACGCGCGAACCTCACGCCCTGTGCTGTCTTCCGTTCGGAGTGATAGGCAGGCACAAAGAGGCTAAAAAAAACAGCAAGATGGGGTGTGCCAAGGATTTTTGGAAATTGAGTGTGGTGACACAGATGAAACTGAAATCCCCCGTGTAGGTCCGATGTAGCAAGTCGATTAATTTCGCGCGTCGCGGAATGCGTGCGCGGTCATGGCGTGAAAACAGAAAGATCAAAATTCAATCCAAAAAGTATTGTCGGGCTTTCCACCGGGCTACGGCCCGTCGTTTAGAACGGAAAGGCTTTGGCACGCTTCGCGTGTCTCGTTTTCGTATCAGATCTCATCGTCGTTCGCTGGTCAGTTCCGAGTCCGACGTGGATGGTATCAGTCGAGTGGCTCTTTCCTTATGCTCGTCCTCACTCCGTATTCGGTAGTGGAAGCCCTTCGCTTCGTAGCGATCGAAACGTTGGCACTCCGTGCACAGAGTGCGGGGCCAATGGGGCGCCACTGCCGTCCACGGAATGACGATCAGCTCGTTAAACGGCAACAATATCGCGTAGGGTGGAAAGTGCGTATCGATAATGACAAATCCGGCGTCTACGAACCCTGAACAACGATCGGCCGGAGGGAAGTCATAGTGCCCGCCGATTTGTGCGACGACTTCTCGTACGTCCCACTCACATACACGTGTCCTTTCCTCGTTGTAGGGAAAGGGTCGCGTTGGAATGGGAGATACAGGAGGTTGGCGCCCAATCGAAGGGCACTTATCAGTCCACATGACAATCAATCACAAATATCCCGAGACGTCATTACAAGCAGAAGCGATTTGCGCGACCCTCAATCCACCCTTTTAACACAAGAGCGAGAGCAAACACACATTCACTTGATCATGCATATGACTAAGGGACCGATCCGCGACTCAGTTCAACACAATGTTGGTCCCTGGCACCTTATTTCTCAAGGCCGCCCGGTGGCTTGGCTGTTGATGTCGTGCATCATAAGGCAGATGGCATGCGTAGTGCGTTCGGAACCACA